AAGCACTGGGGGGAGGGGAAGGGCCTCGCAGCTTGCGGTTTTCCCCCGGAGATCAGTATGACCTCGCTGGGAAGGGCTGGGCCTGAGCCATGCCAGGCCCGGCTTTCCCCTGGGTTTGCTGGGAGAGGAGGGAAGAGGAAGGCCAGGCCGTGGGCAGCTCCAGCCCTCCACATGAGCCCTGGAAAGGTCCAGGCTGGGGGTGGGTGGGGCTTGTTCCTGTGGGATGCAGAATGACATAATGACCCCCGGAGATCAGTATGACCTCGCTGGGAAGGGCTGGGCCTGAGCCATGCCAGGCCCGGCTTTCCCCTGGGTTTGCTGGGAGAGGAGGGAAGAGGAAGGCCAGGCCGTGGGCAGCTCCAGCCCTCCACATGAGCCCTGGAAAGGTCCAGGCTGGGGGTGGGTGGGGCTTGTTCCTGTGGGATGCAGAATGACATAATGACGTCACTCTGTTGTCCCACAGGAAAAATCTTTTTTTTATATAGAGAGCCCTTATCCCTTATAGAGAGGGAAGGAAAGTGAGTATCTGAAAGATCTGAAGGGGATTTTTTATTAATAATTAAAGAAAATTAAGATGAAGGCTCTGAACATTAAAAATGCTTGTAAAACTCCAATAAAAGAGGGCAGCTGCTATTTAATATATTTATCTCCAGAAAAGGAAAATGAAACATTCAGGGAAAGAACAGTTATTCCTGCAATATGGTCCCCATTATTCTTGAGTTACTAAGCTTCTAAACTTCGAGGGATGCAGAGAAAGAGTGCTTGGTCGGCTCTTCAGAGTGCAGAAACTGTAGTTGTGCCTTGCCAGAGCTCTGGATGCTGCAGCAGGGGAGACTTTTTTCACTCTGCCATGGCATCCTTGACCAACTACAGTTTGTCCCTATGTGTAGGTTTTCATGCCACTTGTGTTGGAGAAACTAGGGAATCAGTAGCTCAGGCACTTAATTATTACCTCAAAAATGTTCTGATAATTATACTTGTAAACATCAATAATATTTTTTTTATCTGTGAGAAAGGTACATCTCCCTGCCCTCCTCCCCCAATGCTTTATCCTTAAACTTTTAAGTATCTGAGGTCTCTGTTGATCTCTCAGTTCTCTCTTAAAGCGGTTTACTTAAGTAGAAGCACTTGGCAGCAGCCATGAACTAGTTCAAACATTGTTTCATTCATATCTCCTGTCTGATTCACTGACAGCTGCAAATTGTGCATAAACATAAAATTAATGTTATGGCTCTGTTTTTGGAAATGGTCTGTCAGCCTATCCATCAGTCACTTGCATGCCGTTTCCTGTGACAAGCCTTTTTATTTCTTAGACACATCTATGTTAGAAGCCAATGCACATTTTACAAAATTGTAGGGCCAAATTTAGTTTGGGTGTTAGCCCATAAGCTTGTTGAAATGTATTAGATTCACGTGCTCTAGCTCCCCGTCTATGTAAAGTTTGCATTTTTATTAGTTGCATGCATCGCTTAGTTGGGGATAGTTAATTCAGTTCATTTTAGTACTATTTGATAATTAAAACCATCCTAAATTGTAAATTTCACCACTCCCAGCACAATACACAAATCAGATGGTTTTATGCAAGAAACTGAGCACAAGTTATGGAGACAAAATCTATTACCTCTCTGCCTGTTCTTCCAATCAGAACATTGCAAGAGCTGCCTGTACCAGGTTTATTGCCTATTAGATTTACATAAGCATGAATCTGGTGCCTTTTGACTTGACTCATTCCTATCTGTGTCAGCTTGTTCAGAGATACACATTGTCACAGTATTTGTGCAGAGTGCTGCAGAAGGCTATCACAACAATTTCACACTAATTTCACCAAACAATGCTTTTTCCCTTAATAATTTGATGTGGGTTAAATTCATTGAATCTGGACCACAAAGCTCAGTAGTTCTGTTACTGCCTCTTTACCAAACTTTTATACAGGGATTTGGACATATACATTTAAAAAGAGCTTTATATTTTTCCATAGACATACTTTCCATTCTGACATAATAAAAGGGCAATCTACAACTACCTATGAATTTGTCTTAATTTTATTTTGATGGCTCTTCCCAAAAGGAATTTGAATAGGTTTTGCTGCTGCTTTACACAAGAAACTGAGAACTAAAATGTTTTGTATTACAGGCAGTCCCCGACTTACATGGATCCGACTTACGTCGGATCCCTAGATACGAACGGGGTGAGGTAACTCCCGCACATGCGCAGCAGCATTCCCGGGGCTCGCTCACCTGGGTCCTAGGATCCTCCTCCTCCTCGGGCCGGCTCCGACTGGGGTCCCGCAGAGCTGCCGGGCAGAGGAAAAGTGCC